AATCAGGAGTCAGACACTCAACCGACTGAGCCACTCAGGCGCCTCTAAAATTTTATTTTAAATACACTTTTTCCGTAGCTTATTTCTCCTAACTTCATTTATCCCCAGGGGGATAGGGCTTCGTAGGTTAGATCCCCAAATTGCATCATGGAAGACACTGATCAGCAGCTCTGCTGAAATGGTAACACAGAGAGCCCAGCCAGGATTGAGCGGGGAGCTCTCAACCCGCAAACCTCGCTCACTGTTGGAGGCCACAACCTTTTGAAAGGACAATGTCCATACGAGATACACTGGAGGAAGTATGGAATTTGGATTCTCTTTAGAAGGTGGCTAGAAGGAATGGAAGGCTCACTCTGCAGAGACACAGAGATGGGGGGGGCGGGGGGGGCGGTTGCTTTTCTACCCTGCTGCCTTCTAAGTGCATTGCACTGATATATTTTTGCCTGCTGCTTTGCAAATATACGGAATCACATCACATAAATGCTAAACTCATAACATTATTAATTTATTGGACACCCACTGATCCATATATCTATCTTTAAACAACAAATAATTTTTTTAAAAATACCGAGATGAAATAATGAAGTCAGCAGGAATGAATGGATACCTAATAAAGCACAGAAGCATGAGGTGCAAATAGAAGAAAGAGAGTTCATTTCCATTCAGAAGCAATAAGGGAGCATCTACCAGAGAATAGGTGTTTGTGTTTGGTGTTGGAAACACAAAGTAGAAACACAGGGGTCGTTCTGAGGGAGCTCCATCCAGTGAGGGAGAAGGATGCCTAAAAAAATAAATAAAACAGAGGAAGTTATAGGAACACTGACCTTCAAAAGGCAATGTTGTCCATAAAAGATGGAATTTGGGAAAGTCCAACTGGCATAGAAAGAATTATGCGGAAGATTATCCATCTTTGTCTAGGCTCTGAGTGGGAGAAAAGTTCTCCCTTGATAGTTTAAAACTTTGAACTGAGACATTGGATTTAGGGTCGGTCAGTGTAAACCCTTGGACCTGAGGCTCTGGACTTAGCCTTGGTTCAACATTTAGGAACAGGCAAGCCCCAAGGTGAAAGGTAACATTAAAATCGGGACTGGACAGGGGCACCTGGGTGGCTCAGGGGGTTAAGCAGCCGCCTCTTGATTTCGGCGCAGGTCATGATCTCACAATTTGTGAGACTGAACCCCACGTCAGACTCCACACTGAGAGCTCAGAGTGTGCTTGGGATTCTCTCTCCACCTCGCTCTCTGCCCCTCCCCACTGCTCTCTGCTCACTATCTCTCTCTCTTTCTCAAAATAAATAAACATTTGTTTTTTTAAAAAATCTGCAGCAGATGGGATTTTCAACAGTGGCCTCAAGAACGTTCCTGTGCCACATTCTCTTCTCCCTGGGACATACCTGCTGTCAAGGCAGGGTCCACGCTCCCTCCCCCTTAAATCTGGGTTGGCTGAGATTAGGACAGAAGTGATGCTATGACCTCTAAGGCCAGGTCATAAAAGACAAGCTAGTACTTTTTTTAAGTAGGCTTTATTTACTAGAACAGTTTTAGATTCACAGAAACATTGAGGGGAGGCCGCAGACACGCCCCGTATCCCCCCTGCCTTCACACAGGCACAGCCCCCCCCTCCATTACCCATGTCTCGCACCAGAGTCGTCAAGACCAATGACCGCGACCCCGTCTGCCTCAGACGCACCCAAGCCGCACAGTTCACATTAGGGTTCGCCTTCTGTGGGATGGGCAGGCGAGAACGTGCGCCCGGCACTGGAGTAGCCTGCGCACCCTCTACGCCCTGAAAACACTACGAAGATACTATTCGGCGCCCTAGAAATCCTCTCTGCTTCCCCTATTCACCCCTCTCTCCCCCAATCCCTGGCACCCCTGCTGGTTGATTATAACCGCCCCTCTTTTAACCAGCTTCTTCCCGGTGCTCCTTCTGAGGTTCGCTCACGTTCCGCCTCCCTGCGCGAGCCCGGGCCTTAGGCAGGCAACCCAGGCAGCAGCCGGGCGAGGCGGGCGGCAGCCTGAGCAGCCCGCTCCTGCAGTCCACACGCGGCGGATGCTCGGCGGCCGGCCTCGGCTCCTCGCAGCTGGGGTCCCAGGCGACCTGGGCGGAGACCGCCCGCCGCGGCCCGGCCCCCGAAGAAGCCGCTCACCCTGTGAGTGGTGCCTTGGGTGGTGAGTCCTGCTGCAGTCGTAGCCGGAAGAGCTGGGGGTGAGCCGGATGTAGAGGAGAGAAGCGAGTGTAAACCTTTTATGAAAAAACACTGGCACGACTGAAACCAATCAGAAGTACAAATACGGAAGCAAGGGTTCCATCACAAATGCGGGTAAGCTGGAGGGTAAGCCCCAAAACCCGAGATAACAATACCGCAGTCAGGAAGAGCACATAACGTAAGCATCTTTACAGGGATTTAGGGGCGCCTGGGTGGCTCAGTCCTTGAGTGACTGACTTCGGCTCAGGTCATGATCTCACCGTTCGTGGGTTCATGCCGCACCGGCTCTGTGCTGACAGCTCAGAGCCTGGAGCCTGCTTCGGATTCTGTGTCTTCCTCTCTCTCTGCTCCTCCTTGCACTCTGAGTGTCTGTGTCTCTCTCTCTCAAAAATAAATAAACATTAAAAAAATGTTTTAAGTGATTTAGACTTTTTGAAAATAACAAGCCATTGTAAAAAATTAGGACTAGATTTTTATGCTTCAAATAACACAAAACAAAAAAATGACTTAAAAAAGACAGAGGATTATTTTTTTCCTACTTAGACAAAGCACAGAAGAAAGAGGTCTAAGGCTGATAGGAGGGTTCAAAGAGGGTGGTGAACTCAGAATCCTTCTATCTCGTTCTTCCATCATTCTCAAATCGTGGCTTCCACCTCATGGTGCAAGATAACTGCTCAAGCTCCAGGTATTACATCTGCATTCCAGCCAACAAAGAAAGGGAAGTGCTAAGTTCTCACGCTCTCCTTTTACAAACATTTGAAGGGAGAACATTTGCTTATACCCTGTACTGGGTTGAATAGTGTCCCTGCAAATTCCTGTCCACGCAGGACCTCAGAATGTGACTTTATTTAGAAAATAGGGTCATTGCAGACGTAATTAGGTAAGACGAGTTCATACTGATTAGGGTGGGCTCGAATCCAATGGCTGGTGTCCTTATAAGAAGAGAAAACAGAGACACACAGGGAAAACACCATGTGATGACAGAGGCAGACATCAGAGTGAGGCATCTACAAGCCAAGCAACCCCAATAATTGCTGTCAATCACTACCAGCGCGGTCAAGGCAAAGATGGGTCCTCCGCCAGAGCCTCTGGGGAGAGCACGGCCCTGCGGAAACCGTGATTTAAGAATTCGAGCCTTCAGGGGCGCCTGGGTGGCTCAGTCGGTTAAGCGTCCGACTTTCGCTTAGGTCACGATCTCGCGGTTCGTGGGTTCGAGCCCCGCGTCGGGCTCTGTGCTGACTGCCAGCTCAGAGCCTGGAGCCTGTTTCAGTCTGTGACTCCCTCTCTCTCTGACCCTCCCCTGCTCACGCTGTCTCTCTCTCTTTCTCTCTCCTACAAATAAATAAAACATATTAAAAAAATAATAATCTCTTCACCTTGGCAGAAAGGCCAAGACCAGACAGGTCGGTGGACCTAAGCGCACCCGCCGCCTCACGGCTTCGGTGGCCAGTGCAGCGGCCTGTGGCGGGTCAGCCGGGCAGCTGCAGGCCGCCAGGGCCTCAACTTCTAACAGAATGAGAACCGGCCACTTTTGGAAACCCACCTAAACGCCGTCTGGCACAGAAGCTAACACGTCACTGTGCTAACGCCTCCGACGGCGTCACAGCGGAACCAGGGAACCCACGCCAGCCCCGCCTCGCGCATGCGCCGAGCAGGCAGCTCGTCAAAGGGCCGCCATGTTGGTGCATCGTGCCTGCGCCGCTGGCGCGTTGGTCAGGGGCGCGGGGCGCTAGGCGGGCAGCCGGGGGGGCGCGCGGCGGCCTCCGGGACGCCGTGGGGCTGGAGTGGCACTGCGGCCGGAGATCCGGGTGCGACAGTGCGACGGCACAGACATCGCTGCACGTTAAAGGGGCCTTCGCTGCAGAAAGAGCCGAGGACTCAAGAGTGTCACGTCTGGACACCCCGGACTAAGGCCTGGCGTGGGGGGTGGGGGTGGGCAGGCTCGGCTGTCGGGACGGTGGTGGCGGCAGATGAGCCACTGCCAGGGTCCCAACAGAAGCTTCGACTCCCTGAGGCCCCCCACCCCACCCCACCAACCCCCATCCCACCCCACCCCCACTCCCCAACCCCCCACCAGCCCCCAATCCCCCACCCAATCCCCCCACCCCACCACCCCCAATCCCTCACCCCCATCCCCCGCCCCCCGCCCCCCCCAAGCGACTGCTCAGTTGGTGCAGTGGAGAATGGCCTGGGAGAGCGATGCGTCGCGCAGGTCTAGAAACCTCATTCCCGTAGCTATCAGCACATCCGGGGTGGTTGAAAAGGCAAAAAGCAAAGGAAGGAACCAGCAATTTTGCTCACTGGCTACACCGTTGCTGTAGCAACAGCCTTGGCTGGGATGGAGGTTGAAACTCTTATCTGAAATGAGGTTCCTGCTGGATTTATCACTCGATTTCTCTATTCTGGGCAAGGAGGTTCCAGCCGTGGCTCTGGAGCACCTGTTTGAAAGGCAGATTCCTGGGCTCCAGCCCTGAAGAGACTGACCCAGCAGGTGTGGAGCGTGCCCAGGAATGTGTGCTTCTAACAGGTGTTCCGCGTGATCATGGCACAGGGCATCCAAGGGCCGGTATTTGGAAGTAACTGCTCTACCCACACCTTCTCCGGTTCATCAGTCTCACTGCACGTTGGCCTCAGACGAGGAGCCCTGGGAAACACAGCACGTTCCTGGGCTCCTGACACTGACACGCTCCCCTGTCCCGGACACGTGTCTCCGAGCTCTGTCACCCAGCAAGCTCCACGGCTGTCATCTCCACACACACGCACTGCACACCAGTTGCATTCAGCCAGTGTTTATTGGGCACCTACTGTAGGCAAGGCACAGTACTGGGTGGTGTGGGCAACAAAGACAAGAAGGCTAGTCCTCACCCTCAAGGGGCTCACAGTCTAGTGGGAGAGACACACTCACAGGTAACAAACACACAAGGCAGGACGGGCTGAGCTCCACAACAGAGGCAGGGAGCCTCTGGGCTCTGGCAGGGGCGGCAGGCAGCCGGGCAGGATCACATGTGCCCAGGCACATCAGGGCACGTGACTCACGTCAGCCCGTCCCCAGAGGGTGGGCAGAAGTCACGCAGGTGGGACAGAACCGAGATTAGCTGAGACACGGAGAAGGCACAGAGGCAGGAAAGAACACTGAACTTTTAGACAACGGGCAGAACATCTGCCTTGACTGAAATGTAGGACGCCAACGGGGTAATGAAGGAAACCGAAGCTGAAAATGAAATTGGAGGCTTGACAGCGGATGGTTTCCTTCCAGCCAGGAGGTATGACTTCGTTCTGTAGGCAACGGTGAGCCAGGGAAGGTTTCTGAGCCAGGGAAGTGCATGATCTCATTTCCTCAATTCCAGGCACGGTTCTGGGAGTAAAATGCAATTAGCTCTATGTGTGTTAACTGCACCCTGTGAACTTACACCCTCCCTTGGTCTCAAAGCAGAAGCCCTGTGGCCACAGATACTTTCCAGGGCTGCAGAAGGCTGGGAAGCCTCAGGCCAGGTAAACTCAGCACTTACTTAATAGCTTTGCACACCTCTACAGAACAGGAAGTGGGGCCTTCTAGAATCATTTGAAATAAGGGGCCAGGGCCACGAAGGTACTCAATGACCTTTGGTTACCTAAGCTTGTCACCAATGAGCTGCAGAGAAAACGGGAGTGCAAAAAGAAGCCAGGAAGCATCATCAAACCAAATCATCTCCCGTAACCCACCCAACCCTCCAGCTCACTGGGTGGGGTGCCCTTCCCCCGCAGTCTAGCTTCCTGGAATCCGCAGCTGGGGTTTCTAAAAGCTCTACGCATAGAAGGTTCTCTGCTGACACCTTCCCTAGGAACCTCTAACTCTCCAGCGAAGAGGGAGAATGGCGCCCTCCCCCACCCGGGCCGCCCCAGCCTGAGAAGGGATGGGAGGCCACGGCCGTCCAGGTGGACACGGCGATGCTGGTCAGCGAAGGCTCCCCCAGAACTTCCACGCCGGCTGACGTGGATGCCTGGGCAGAAAGGGGCGAAGTCACAGCCGGGCTCCCCAGGAGAAATGTCCCGGGGGAGGTCGCGTGCACGTCCGGGCCTGGCCCGGCGGGGCCGCCACCGCCATTGCTGATGGTCCACAGGCACGGGTAGGGGCTGCAGAGACAGAAACACAGGCGCTTGCTGAGGGCCCGGGACCCGGGACGGAGCGCCCGGCACGGCTTTATCTCCAGCTCCGATCCAGAGGGGCCCTGTTTCTGTGGAGAAGCAGTGAATGTAGCGGAATAAGCAGAGAGTGAGGTGTCCTGACCTGAATTTTGATACTTGGCCCTGCCACCAGCAATTTCGATTCTGAACACAGCATTTCTGGAGGTGTGGATGGACAGGGGTGCCAAAGGAGGGTATCTGGACGGCACAGCCTGTGAGTGAGTGAGACCCCTCACTGGAAGAGAGGGGAGATGACATACATAACAATCAGGGCACAGAAGCGCAGAAAACCTGGGCTCGCATCCCAGTCTACGGCGTACTGCCTCCATGACCTCGGTCCAGTCAATACCTCTGAGCCCTGGTTTCCTCATCCTCAAGATTTGGAGTGATAATTATGCACTCATTACAGACGCTATTATGAGGATTAGATGAGATGAGTGGATGAGGCCTGGCACAGGGCACGCACCAAATGGTGGTGGTTATAATTGACTCTTCCATTGCTCATCTCTCCCCAGCAGCTCTGGTCCCTGGCAGAAAGGCCAGCGAGCTAGACCCCCTTCTTGGACATCTCTTATTCTACAGCACTGGTTCACACACCCAACTGCATGTTGGAATCACTCAGCAAGTTCTAAAATAACACTGACGCCAGAGATCCCGATGTTTTCTACCAGTCCGGCCTGCAGCCTGGGTATCAGGACTTTTTAAAGCTTTCCAGTGGACTGTAACATGCAGCAGATTTTGCACCCGAGTGTAGCTGAAATGACTGTAGTTGGAGCAGTAAGGTAAACGCCAGTGCTCTAAGCCTTTGGTCATCACGATGTCCTGACATTTTTGAGTCTCTGCATCGCCTGACACTGCACTACGTGAGAACAGGCTCGTTACGCAGCGACGTCACTGGACACATTTGCTGCTCTCTAGCAAAATCTTGGTGGAGTCGGTAATAGGTTAAATATGCTGCTGGGGTGACTAGAAATAGCAGTGCCACCCTGCACTCCGTGCGAGGTCCAGACACTAGCCCTCGCTGGGCCACCTGAAACCTACAAAAGCCCGTGCTGTGGCTGTTTGCTTGTTGTTTGTTGCTTTGTTTGTTAGCCAGCGTGGCTTGCTGCGACTGGGGGCCTGATCTCCAGAAGAGACTCTTCTACAGCATCGTCTGATGCCTCCGGGGACGGTGGGAAAACCATGCCCCGAGTTACACCACCCACTGGGTGACCTTCAGGACGTTTTTAATGCTTCTGAGCTATGGTACCTCCAACACTAAAGTAGGACTTTGAACAGCGGCCTGGTGGATGTCGCTGAATACTGTAAACAACTAACAAAATATCTAGGACAGAATCTGCCACATGATCGTTTAACATCTTCAAGGACTTGCTTCCTCGCTTCCTACGACAACCCGAATCTGCGCTTTTCCTTTAGATAATCCAGGCGAGTACTGACCAATAGAAATGAAACATGAACAGTAACTGCAAGGCTAGATTTTCTAGTAGCCGCATATTTTAAAAAAGAAAGAGAAGGAAAAAATGCACTTATCGTTAATAATGTTTTATGGAACCAAAAACATGCAAAATATTATCATTTCAACATGCATTCAAGGTAAAAAAAAAAAAAAGAGGGAGAGAGAGAGAGAGAGGAAGAGAGAGAGAGTTGAGATTTTAATTCTTTGTTTCCTACTATGTCTCCAAATTTCTGTGTGCATTACGCTCACAGCACACCTCCGGGGGAACCTGCTGCGTTTTAAGGGTTCCATGGCCACAGGCGGCCGCTGCATGGGGTAGCCCAGCACTAGATCCTGATTTTGCCACAGCAACATCAGTATCAAAATCATCAGGATCATGGCAACACCAGCAACACCCGTGCAAGCCTCAGCCTCCAAGCCAGACCTGCTCATAAGACTGTGCATTTTTTAAAGTTTGTATTTATTTATTTTGAGAGAGAGACTGCACAAGCAGGGGAGGGGCAGAGAGGAAGGGAGAGGATCCCAAGCAGGCTCCACACTGTCAGCACAGAGCTCAGTGTGGGGCTCAATCTCATGAACGGTGAGATCATGACCTGAGTCACAATCAAGAGTGAGACACTTAACCAACTGCGCCGCCCAGGCACGCAGATTGTGCATTTTAACAGCATCCCAGGTGATTCTTTCTTTTTTTTTTTATGTTTATTTATTTTTGAGAGAGAGAGTGCAGGCGGGAAAGGGTCAGGGAGAGAGGGACACACAGAATCCGAAGCGGGCTCCAGGCCCTGAGCTGTCAGCACAGAGCCTGAGGCGAGGCTTGAACCCACAAACCGTGAGATCGTGACCGAAGTCAGACGCTTACCTGACTGAGCCCCCCAGGCGCCCCGCATCCCAGGCGACTCTAACACACATTTAAGTGTGAGCAGCCCTGCTGCAGACCAAAGCCCTATGTTCTCCTAACATTTTCTAGACCAGCAAATCACAAGTCATCAGACATCTCTCAAGACCCACCTTTTTAATTCTGAATCCCTTTTAGAACCTTCTCAAAACTCTGCATACAGAACTGAAGGCAACAGCTGACATTTAGAGAGAATGTTGCTGCTTACAAAGCATTTTAATGCACATTGTCCTTCTGAGCTCACCGTCACCTGCAGAGCCACGCACATCGCTCACATCGCTTCCAGGTTAATGATAAGAAAGCTGAAGGTCAGTGAGGCTAAGACAACTGCCTGAAGCCACAAAGTCAGTAACAGGTAGAACCAGGGCCAAAGCCCGCGTCTGTCAAAGTCCAAGGTCCCCCTTGCCCGCTTCCCCACCCCTCCCCCATCTCCAGATCAGAACGAAATGCAGGTCTCTGGTGTGAGTCACGCCACGGTCCCGCATGCTACACTCTGCTCTGTTACCTGGATGCAGACCAGGCACCCACCGTCTGTTCCCCCGTTCGGACGGGTGACTTATGAGAACATGGACAATCCAGAGGGTCTTGAATTTTCAGTCTATTTATACTTTCCCCCTTCACTTCCCCTAGAGTCAATGTCTGTCTGCTCCCACCACAGGTTACAGCATTTCTGACTGGTTCCGGGCTATAATGCCTCTTCCCTCTTAAAAATAGAATACCGGGGCGCCCGGGTGGCTCAGTTGGTTGAGCATCCGACTCTTGATTTCGGCTCAGGTCATGATCACAGGCTCATGAGATCAAGCCCTGCGTCAGGCTCTTCCACTGAGCATGAAGCCTGCTTGAGATTATCTCTCTCTCCCCCTCTGTCCCTCTCCCCTGCTCTCACTCTCTCTCTCTAAAATAAAATAGAATAAAACCAAAGCTACAAAACAAAGAGCATACAGTTGAGCAGGTGCTCTCCCACTCCCCTCTCTCTGGGAGTGAAAGGTCCATCCATTTTTTACATTCCCTTCCTAGTGGCTTAGGAGTCACTACAATGGCTTAGGCCAAGCCACCCGAGGAAAATGAATGAACTTGAGTCTCCAGTGCTAATGTAAGCCCCCAAGCCCACCAGTGAGCAAGCTGCTGGTGTGGGTCTTACCTAGGCCCTGGATTGATTGGCCCGCTGGTGTGGGGTACAGGCAGGATGCTGGCGTGGGGCGTGGAGGATAAGGAAGTCCAGCTGTCGGCTCCGGAGAAAACTTGCAGGTTATTGCTGGAGCTTTCTATCAAATTCACTTTAGGGAAATAACAACAGTTGAGTTGATGGGGTGTGTAGAACATATAAAGATGGCGGCCACTGATATTATTCAAGGGCCAGATATAGCCGTGGCTTGTGATACAGGTGCTAATGGCTTGTTTGTACTTCCTGAAGGAACCAGAAAAGAGGGAGGCCCTTGGGTGTACTGAACGTCAACCCCATGCCACATTCCGTTCATATTTCACTCTTCACAACAGCGACCTGTCCTCTCCACTTTGTCCATGAGGCTCAGAGAGGAGGGGTGATTCGCCCTTCGTGACACAGATCCGTCCGACTCATCACCACTCTCCCTTCCCTTGAAGAACAGACCGTGTCAGCATCCCCTCAACACAAGCCGAGGGCCCCCCCCACCGGTGCTCCAGATGAGATTCCTGAGGACCAGCATCTTTTTCTTCTCAACAACCCCAAGTAAATTTAAACATCTCGAGAATAGTATCTTCTACGTTTGTGACTCTCCATGCGCATAAATAGCGTGTATGTGAGAGAGGATGGAGGGATGCAGAGAAGAGCGAGGAAGAACATTCCAGTGCACACGCCTGGCTGGCCCAGGCACTCCTCGTCATCCACAGTCTGTTCCAAATCCAGTCCCCCTGACACCCTGGGTCCTCTCCCCCCTGTGCCTTTGCTCACACCACTCTTACCTCAGGGACCGTCACCTCCCCTGGGACCCTGCCTTCCGCCTCCACCTCTGCTCACGCCCACCTCCGCCTGCTTCTATTCATTCTGCGAATCTCAACTTCAGGGTTAATCCGTCCGGGGCAACTACGGCTGCTCTTTTTCTGTCATTCCCACAGCACCTGGGCTTAGGTGTGTTCCAGAATGTTTTGCAAACTTCAACGTGCATATCACCTAGGGATCTCGTTAAAACGTGGGCTCTTCCAGAAGGAGAGCCCGAGAATCTACATTTCTAACAAGTTCCCAGGTGGTGCTACAGGCCCGAGGAGCACCCGAGAGCCCGCACTACCTCGTGTTATGATCCATTATTCATGCAGCCCTGAGCTTCCTCAGGGCAGAAACTACACCTTCATCACCTTCCTCTGCCCACTGCCCGGACGAGGGCCTGGTGTGCACCCGGGGCTCAGCAGCTGTGATTTGTGTGCTGACCGTGGGCAAGAACCAGGAAGCAGAGTGAGAGCATGGCCCACTTTCTGATATCATTAAGCTACATTCTATTCCTTCCTACGGCAGCTGCAAAGGCTGCTGGGAGTAACACGTGACAGGACGCAGGGACAGGCAGCCGGTGGCCACGACAGCCTCTGTAGACAGAGCTCAGGGTGGGATCCTAACGCTTGAAGCTTACTTATTTCTTTAGCATTTTTTTTAAATGTTTACTCGTCTTTATTTTGAATGAGAGAGACAGAGACAGAGACAGAGAAAGAATCCCAAGCAGGCTCCACACCATCAACGCAGAGCTCGACGCAGGGCCCGATCCCCTGAATCGGAAGATCGTGACCTGAGCCAAAGTCAAGAGCCAGGCGCTTAACCGACGGAGTCCCCCAGGCACCTTGAATCTTACTTATTTCTTTCCATTAGTGTTGACCTCCCCGTAGGAGAATAGAGTCTCTGTAGAGCGGGGTGTTTTTCTTGTCCGTCCCTCGGCAGAGCCCAGCCCGTAGACATATAATCAACTATTCGTACACAAAATAACACATTAAAATGACAGGGCGCCTGGGTGGCTCAGTCGGTTAAGCATCTGACTTCGGCTCAGGTCATGATCTCGCAGTTCCTGGGTTCAAGCCCCACGTCAGAACCTGCTTCGGATTCTGTGTCTCCCTCTCTCTCTGCCCCTCCCCTGCTCATGCTCTGCGTCTGTCTCTCTCTTCTTTTAATACAATACTATTACCCATATTAGGTGAAAGGGACTCCATCTTCAGACACTTCTTTTTACCACTCGCTGTTTATCCATCTCTCTGCGCCGCCACCCGCTGCCAGCACCCAAGGGGTTAATTAGCAAAACCACACACCTGAGGGAGAATGGTTTCTATGCATGTACGCAGAAGGGTAGGGAGTCTGCCGGTGCCCTCGGAGGCCAGGATAGTGCTCACAGCCGTGGTGGGGGTGGGGGGCAGAGAGAGGCAAGGGTGTGGCATACTGGTAATTGGCGTTTCCTGCTGCACACACTCCATCAGGATTGGAAAAGATCCAGCCTCCCACTGGAACAGACGAGAGGGAGACAGAGAGACCGTGAACTTCCACACCACAAGGCACTTACCAGCCACCGCACGTACTGTCTCTGTGTGAATGACACTGAATATCTGCCCGGGTAGAGACGGGGACCACGCCCGCTGTCACCCCCCTTCACAGTAGCCCCGAAGCTGGCTTCTTTGGGGAAGGATGACAGTTCCTATTAAAGTTCAGGAAGCCTCTTGAGGAGGGCTGGAACTGAGCTGTATAAAAGACCATTTGAATGAAAAGTTACAGAAATGCAAAAGTGAAGTTGCTTCTGACTTAACTGAATGAATTAAAAGTCTGAGAAGGGGATGTGAGATGCATCTGTAATCTCCAGCCACGAGGCGATGTTTAATGTGGTCACAGAGAGTGAGGGCCTGTTTCCGCCCAGCGGGAAGATGTCTACAGTTCTCACTCCAAGCAACACGAGCCACGATGGCTTCCCTCACCGCCCCACACACACACACGATTCTGAGAGCAAAAGTGGGAGAGCTGCTCGCTGAAGCAAGAATCGTGCAGAACACTTTGGAAGGCTGCGAAATAGTTCACAGAAATCTGGTTTTGAATGAAAAAAAAACACAAAAAGAAAGAAAAGGCATGGAAAGAAAGAAGGAAAAAGAGAGGGAAGGATGGAGGGAGGGAGGGAGAGAGAGAGAAAGAAAGAAAGAGGAGGGGAGGGAAGAAAGAAAGCTTTGTCTGATGCAGGCGTCCAGGAGGCAAAGCCAGGCACATGGTCGCCCTAACCGGCCCCCTGCGCCGTTGGTTTGTCACGTTAAGGGACACACCTGAACAGGCTTGCTGAGAAGACCATAACGTGTGAGTTTGGAAAACACGTGGTTCACAAGCAGGTACTATACCCAAGGCCTGCTAGGCCGGCTCCCTTTAAAAAGTGCTTTTCGGAGGCGCCTGGGTGGCTCAGTTGGTAAAGCGTCCAACTTCAGCTCAGGTCATGATCCCGCAGTTCGTGGGTTCGAGCCCCACGTCCGGCTCTGTGCTGCCAGCTCAGAGGCTGGAGCCTGTTTCAGATTCTGTGTTTCCCTCTCTCTCTGACCCTCCCCTGCTCTCGCTGTCTCTCTCTCTCTCAGAAATAAATAAAACATTAAAAAAATAAATAAATAAAAAGTGCTTTTCTGAGAGCTCCTCCCTTTCTGCATGATGCTGCGGCTCTGCGGTGCGCATGAGCAGAGGCGCAGGGGCACAGGGACTGAGCGAGCAGAGGGCCCCCCACTCCCAGCTGGACCCAAGCAAATCACCATTTGCATCACAATGTCTCCGACACTTTCTGCATCACTTACCTGGGATTCTGCTGCAGCTTTAGAGGGCTTCCTCCCTCACGGGGCCTCCTCCCGGGCCATCCAGGCAGGGGGAGGCCAGTACCCCATTAGGGAGGCCCCGCCTCTGCCCCACAGTCCCCCGCGGCATATCACTCACCTCACCCTGTGGGTTTCCTGTCGGCACCCCCAGGCTCCCCCACACATTCAAGGGAGGCGCCGCAGTGGTGACCAACACAAAAATGGGCAAACGGTGAGAACAGGAGCAATCCAGGCCAGACTGACAAGGGTACAGGGTGGACAGTGGAGGCAGAGGCGACAGTCCTAAGCTTCTGGGACTAGAAAACTCGAGTCTGAGAAATCCATCACCCATTCCTATCCCCTGCCTGAGATTCAGTCCAGCCCCTGAGGAACACCAGTTCTCTCTGGGAATTCTGGAAAGGGCACACACATGTCTTGAGTGGAAGAAATAACCTTTTGAGTCTCGAGAGCAGCTCTGGAACCCAGCAGGTAGAGTCTGGCTCCAGTGTCCCCACCAGGGGCGTCCCACCCAGCATCCACCCAGTGTCCACCCAACTCACAGTGAGAATAGGCCACGTGCTGGCTCTCAGAGACAGCTTCCGGAATGTCTTTTAGGTGATTCCTGAAAGAGAGCGAAAGTGCACCATGGCCATCCAGCATATTATGCACGTCCAGCGGAAAGCCTACCCCAAATTCTCTTTGGAAAGCAATATATTTCTGAGAATAAGAAAATCAAACTCCATTTATCTCAAATGTCTCCCCCCCTTCTTCTTCCAGGTTACTTTATCTCATGTGCAATTCCTCTTTGAATTGCAAGTTAATGTGACTCCAATTTGCCATATTTACAGCTACCGAGTTTGATATCACTGATTTGTGGTCACTGCTCCTGTCTGGCAAAATTCAAGCAACAGAAACAGCTGGGATTTGCATAGGACTTCAGGGCACAGACACATCCATGATATGCTAGATCCACCGATAATCCCGGGAGGAAAATATTCCTATGCCAATTTTACAGATTTATTTTTTTTAACGTTTTATTTATTTCTGAGAGAGAGAGTAGTGTGGGCAGGGGAGGGTCAGAGAGAGAGAGAGGGAGACACAGAATCTGAAACAGGATCCAGGCTCTGAGCTAGCTGTCAGCACAGAGCCAGATGCGGGGCTCGAACCCACGAACTGTGAGATCATGACTTGGGCCGGAGTCAGACACTAAACTGACTGAGCCACCCAGGTGCCCCTAATTTTACAGATTTAAAACATGGCTCTCAGAGAGGTAAAGTGACTGGTGTCAGCTCACACAGCCAGGAAACGGCAAAGCTAAGACTCCAAGTCAGGACTGCTTGCTCAAAGTTCTGTTAACTCACATCAGATTTTTTGGTTTTTAGGCCTTTGGTTATCTGAAATTAAATTGCATCAAATACTGACAAAAATACTGACAAAGTCCTTTGACAGAAGGCATTGGTAAGGACTCTTCTGTTTTCATTGTTTTCCAGCATGGAAAGGAAAAACACAAAGATGTAAAGTCTCCAGCCTAAAGTGACCATTCACAATCCCAGAAGTCTCTGCACCTTCTTCTCTCAAAACCTCTCTCCTTTATGAGTTACTCGTATGGATCACTCACCTCTCCCAGGCTACATGTAGTTTCAAAAATATATATATTGAGGGGCACCTGGGTGGTTCAGTCAGTTAAGCATCCGACTTTGACTCAGGTCATGATCTCATGGTTTGTGAGTTCGAGCCCCGCGTCGGGCTCTGTGCTGCCAGCTCAGAGCCTGGAACCTGCTTCAGATTCTGTGTCTCCCCCTCTCTCTGCCCTTCCCATGCTCATGCTCTGTCTCTTTCTGTCTCTCAATAATAAATAAATGTTAAAAAAATTTAATAAAATAAAATATAACAATAAATATATTGAAACCATACTACTCAGAGATAATTGGAGGAAGGGCAAAGTGAATTACTAAAAATCTAAATCACTTAACTATTTTTTTTTTTAATGTTCCTGTGCTGCTTTCGAGAACCGGTAGGAAAAGAGATCTGAGAAAACATTGCCAGTTATGAGGTTCTCACGGAGTCCTGCTTAACGGACAGATAATTAGGAGTTTGTTGAATTTTGGTGATTTGGTTAAATAGCGAATTGAATGTTGCAAACCTATTTCTTTCAAAGGGAATGCAAGTTCCTTTCAAGATGATCATAAATTTCACACATGCAGAAGCCAACCGACAAGATTTCACTGCGATTTCTCTACTCACCTTTCCTTGGCATCCAGGAAGGCTTTAGCAAAAGGGTTGTACTTGATTTTGAGAGCTGTTATCTATGTCGACAAAGACAAGAAGCCTTAGTGAAAGCGCAACACGTATGAACAGACAGAACCCTTTATCTTCACCCGTGAGCTTCTGTCCACTCAGAAGAACCCCCATCGCTTTCCTCTCCTCCCTGCCCATGTTTCTTTGCTTACTCCTGCGCCAAAGTACTAGCGCGCTGTCTGTGACAAAGAACGTTGGATTGTGGCCTGTAGTGAAAACGGCAAAGGCAGCGAAGGTGAGCAAAGAAAGGACAAAGTTAGAAATGAGCAAAGCCTGATGTGCTAAACCTGGCATTCCTCCTTTTATTTATTATTTCATCCCCGCCCCTTTTTTTGAATTATTGAATACCGCCCCCTCCCCCCGACCCTGCTCCCGCCATGTGAGTTTTCTAGACCCTGGGAACACAGTCGGGAGTGGTGCAGGTGTGACCCCACCTCGCGGGAGAGAAAGCCCGACTCACTCCCTAAGTCTGCGGTCATCACTTACTCCTGGGGCCACCTTAACACAAACACAGATTCTCACTCCCGCCCGCCTTCGCACCCTCACGCTGGCCAGATGTACATATACGTGTGTGTGTGTGTGTGTAACGCACATGTGCTTTCGCTCCCCGCTCCCCCCCCCTCCCAGGGATGTAAGTGACTTGAGGGCAGCGCACACATCTGTGATGCCCATCACAGGAGTCCCAGCAGGTAGTAAGACTCAACAAATATTTGCTGAATAAATACACGCTGCAAAGAATGTTTGCTTCAGCAAGGGCCTGGGGGAAGGAAGAAAAGTGAACTAAAAGCACGACTCTTTCTGGCCCCGGGAACGGGGAAGAAATCAGAAGGGCCTGATGGGCATCACCGAGTGCTTCTCCCTGCCTGGCGACCACCCCCAGGCCGCTCCCCTCTCAGGGTGCATCTACACCCAGTGGGCAGGAAAGTGCTGGTGGCAGAGGGAGGCTCTGAGGTTGCATTTCCTGGGCTTGATTCCCGGGGCGGGGGGAATCAAGGCTGGAATACAGCCGGAGGCTGGGTAGCTTGCCGGAGGGGTGGCCTTAGCTGGGCTGGCGGGCCAGAGGGGACTGTCCAGCACCCAGAGCCGGCAACCGGACTCTGGGAGCAGCGGGAGTAAGAGGGCAGGGGCATCGCCCCAAGACGGGAGGCGGCCAGGGCCTAGCCCCCAGCGCCCCCTCCGCACTCACTAGAGTCACAAAAGCCACACCCACCCTTCAAAGACCCAGATTCCAGGGGGAGAGAAGCAGGGAAGGGAAGGCCGTCTTGAACACAGCCTGTTTCCGCCGACACTCAGCACCACCCGAGGGCCTGTATAAATGATCTAATATTTAACTCGTGTTCCCACTGGCCCGTTGGAGGGGCTCGGCCAAGAGGCCAGACGACTCGTAGGAAAGAAATGGCATTTTCTCTGCACACCTGCGATGCGAGTTAGACCCACAATTCAGTTGTACCTGGAGGCACTAAGGTAGTAGTTTCCACACCTGGATGCTCATCATCAGAATCCTTTAGGGAGACTTCAAAACCTACATATTCCGGGCCCCATCCCTGGGGTTCTAACTCCGAGGGCGGGTGGGAGCCCCAAATCTTTTAAAGCTTCCAAATAAAGAAATGCAGAGTAAAGCACCAGTGAAAATACTTTGGGTTTGGTTGCTTTGTTTTACCTATCAGGTTATCAAAACTGACACAAGGCGATCGTCACCAGTGCTGGGAACAGGGTGGGGACTGCAGACGAGCGTGGGCTCTTGGAGGGAGGTCATTTCGAGCCGCCTCCCGGTGCTGAACCACCGCCCCCGGACAAGAATTCCGTTTCTAGGCGTTCGTCCGCGCAAGCCAGCAGCGGAGGGGGACATAGGGGACATTCCCGGCAGCGTCATCGAGAACAGCAAATAAAACGCCTGCAAAGAACCTCATGTCCCCCAAGGGGAGCTGACTGCCCGGTGTGCGGCGGGCCCTCCACAGGCGCTTCAGAAAGACACGTGCCTGAACCTACTTACACGGAAGGAGGGCCGTCCTGTGCAGCTTGGTGGGGAAAGGGGTTCAGACTAATACGTACACCATGAGCCAGTCTGGAGGAGGAAGTCTGTGTTCTCTGATGTATTTCTATGCACAGAGAATATGTGTGCGGAAGACACACACTTTTAGCTATTATTTGTAGTGTTCCTTGGGGGGTGGGATTCAAACGGCAAGCAGGAAAGAATACATTTTCACCTTTTTTTTTCTTTTTCACTGAGCATAGTTCTGCGCTATTTATTTATTACGTGGGGGTTCCTTTCATAAACTTGTATTACTTTATAAAGTTTTTGTTTTTTAAGTTTGGGCAGAAAGAATCCAACCCTCTGCCGGCGCTTCTGACGACAAGCGGGCCAGGGAAGCCCCTAGAACGTACAAGCGGACTCGGGTACCGGGCACCCGACTAACCCGGGAGGGAGGCCGGGTTGCGGCTCCCGGGCCCTAAGTGCCGGTGCCCCCGGCAGGGAGGGAAGTGCTCGGAGCCAGGCTAACCCGGGCGGGCGGGGCGCAGGGGCCCGGCTCTCACGCACCTGCTCCCGGAGCTCACCCAGCTGCGGGCACGAGCCGGGCACGAGCCGCGGGCACGAGCCGGGCACGACCTGGGCACGAGCCGGGCACGAGCTGCGGGCACAGCTGCGGGCACGAGCCGGGCACGAGCCGCGGGCACGAGCTGCGGGCCGGGCGCACACGGGGCCCTGGACACTGACTCCAGGCTCCGTGGGGCTGAACGCAGGGCACAGTCGTGCCTCACGGACACCGGGACGCAGGGATGGCGGGCCCCTGGCGACGGGGAGAGGCAGTGGGGGGCGGCCGCCCCGCCGCTTACCTCCACTTCTGGGGCGTATCTGCGCCGCGGAAGCCCGCCTTCCTCCGCCCTGCGCCGCACCCCGCCGGCCCCCAGGGGCGCTCACGCATGCGCGCGGGCACACTCACCTCCTCGTTCTGATATGCGGTCACGGCTATGAACTGGGTTTCCGGGAACGAGCAGTTCATGACCATTCGGTGGGCGCCCCCGACGCGCACGATGTGCACCTGGGGCTCGTATTTGTGCAGAGAATTCAGCATGATCTGTTGCGGCGGGAAGAGAAGGGGAGGCGGTCAGAGCCGGAGCAGCCCCTCTGCTTGGCCCCAGGCTGGGCCCCCAGCTCGGTCCGGGCCTCACGCTCCGAATCCGAGTCGATCCGAGTCGATCCGAGTCACCGGAGCCGCCGCCGCACGACTCCCGTGTCTGAAAACTGCATGCGGGCGGGGTTGGGGGGCAGTTTTCCAGAGAGCTCATGCTAGGCTTGCCAGAAAGTTCCCGCCTTCCTTTTTTATTTTATTTTTTTCCTCTCTCCTTATTTTCAGAACAGCGATGTGGATTTCGATCCATTAAAAGATACTGTTTTTCCCCATATGAGGAATCCTCATATGTCAAAATTCTGACAGGGCTGCATTTTACAAACGACGAGCTAAGGACGAATGCTGGCTGACATCTGAGGTCACCCAGCAGCCACTCTGATTCACACAGAGGTCGTATTAACAGTCATGTCGTGGGGCGCCTGGCTGACGCAGTCGGTTAACCTTCTGACTCATGTTTTCCGCTCAGGCCACGATCTCAGGGTCTGAGAGGTCAAGCCCCCACCCTGGGCTCCGTGCTGACAGCGCAGAGCCTGCTCGAGATTCTCTTTCTTTCTCCCTCTGCCCCAGGACACACACTCTCTCTGTTTCAAAATAAACAAGTTAAAGAAAAGAGAAAAGAAAAGAAAGTCTGGTGTTGCGAAATGTGGGTGGCAACGGTTTACTTTTCAATTTCCTGTTTTCACAAAGAACTAGAATCTTCTGAGTATTGCCAGGACTTGGGTGGATCACCTCCTCGTCCTAAAACGTGACCGCCTGTGTCCCAGCTGGTGACACACGCGGTCAGAGGAGGCCGCGGGGATTGGGGGCTGAGAGGCTGGAAACAGGAGGAAGGGGAGAGGGCAAGCCTTGCCTCCCAGCTACGGTTCTGGTCCCCCAAACAGTCTACTTTTTAGAACACAAACCTCAGCCTTACACGGTGCCCTCGCATCCGCCTATCCTACCAGAGAGAACAAAAGCGGAAAAAGGCCCAAATTCTTGTTTACTCTAATTGGAGACCTTAAATAAAACCTTCCCCGTTTAAGGTTTGTTTGTTTTTCTGAAAACCCAAAGCTGATTCAATATTCTATCGACAATTATCATAATGCCCGAGCAGAAGTAGCAATTATTTCATTTAGGAGCAGCTTTTTATTAAGGCATTTGTCTATTGCCAACATGCCACTTACACCGAAAAAGAAGAGCGAGAACAACAGAAGCCCGGGTACCCGCAAACGTCTCCTCCGGGGCTGGTAAAAAGCCCCACGCAAGACCCAACTATGAAAGGGCCCTTGATGATTAAGTAAACTACTGCGCTCTCTCCCTCTCTCTTAACATCAGGAAGTCCATTAAAAACTGAAAGCACCAATTAAGAGCTGTTTATTCCTGTTCACATTTGGACTCCGGGGAATAATTGGCTCGCATGGGAGAAGAGGCCGGCGAGGACCCCTCTAATTGCCTAAATGCACCCTTGATATTTCTTGATTGGTGTTGCGGGGCGGCCGGGCGACCCCATCTCACCTGCCCGCCTCCGTTGAGTTTGTTCGTCAGCTTCACTTTGCTGAAGGAGATGGGAGCTTTCATCCAGTGGGCCCCGAAGTTGGGGGAGTCCGGGTGGATGTAGACGCAGCTGTGGCTGGAGGCCTCCGGCTTGCCCGCGGGGACCCACTCCCCATTGACGTACTTCCAGCGGTGGCCGTCCGTTGGGACAAAGTCCAGCAGCAGCGAGTACATGGCGTTGGGGTCCAGCCCCGTGACGCTAATCTTTAGGACAGGGAACATCCGTCTAAAAGAAAAGGGGAGAAACCGAGTCACAGGAGGGATGCGGGCGTCTTCGGGGCGCCTTTCGCCCCCCCCCCCCCCCCCCCCCCCCCCCCCCCCCCCCCCCCCCCCCCCCCCCCCCCCCCCCGCTGTCCAGCCATCTCTCCACTCTGCGAAGGCCTTCCACGGAGAGCCTCGGGGCGCAGGGGTGCCCGGCGCAGCCGCCCCAGTTCCAGAGCCTCTGTTCACAAACGCATTTTTTACTGGGGTCTTAGGGGCGCCTGGGTAGCTCAGTCAGTTAAGCGTCTGACTCTTGATTTTGGCTCAGGTTACAATGATATCGAACCCCCTGTCGGGCTCTATGCTAACAAGGAGGCTGTTGGGGATTCTCTCTCTACCTCTCTGTCTACCCCTCCCCTGTGCATTCTCTCTCTCTCTCTCTCTCTCTCTCTCTCTCTCTCTCACTATAAACCACTGAGCTCCATTTTAAAGTCTGAAAACCACGGATCTCGTCCATTTGACAGAGGAACCTGAAGCCCAAAGTTTATCATCGGATGCCACGTTCTCACGGAGTCCTTTCTTCAAGGACTTCCTGCAGGCACACATGAGTTCTCACACTAATGCCACAAAGCGGCCCTTTGCCCATCACAGAGAACATAAGTTCTGAGCGACAGCGGCAGCATTAACAGTGGAAACATGGTTTCAGGGTAAAACAAGTGAGGGAATGCTTGGCTCCACGGAGTTAGACCAGTTCCTTCCCTGCAGGACTTCTCAGAGCCTTTAATCTACAAATGTGCGCTCTCCACCTCTGGGAAGATAAGGCCTGCGCACACACAGAGCTCATGGGACGGCGGAACCGTCCTTTCACTGAGCGTTTTCTGGGAACTGTGCTAGGGGAACGAACTCGGAGACGTACCGCTCTGGACTCCTGGGTCCTTCTTCCATCTTCTAGAATGCCGTCTAGTACCAGAAAACTTGCTCTCACACGGGTGGAGAGGCTACCTCTTCTCCTTCTCTTTGGTTTGTTTTTCCTTCACCGAGTGTTCTAAGTCGCTCTAATCTATCCCCAAAAGACCTTGTTTCCAGACACGCCTCCCCAACCTGATCGCCCCAGACGGGGTCTTATTTGTCAATACCTCTTTTAAAATATGAATCTCCAAATTGAGAAGCTAATAACCTAGAGTCCAGACACCTGCTGCTCAAAGTGGTCCCTGAACCAGCAGCCTCAGGGTCAACCGAGGCTCATTAGAAACGCAGAACCTCAGACCTCGCTCCAGACCCACTCCGTCAGGGGCTGTGCTTTTCCCGAATCCCAGGAGCGTTACAGGAGCATTGAAGCTGAGGATGTACGAGAATAGAGCGTCTTTAGCTTTTCAGACAATCACGAAGGAGGGGCGCCTGGGTGGTTCAGGCAGGTAAGTCTGACTCTTAATTTCGACCCAGGTCATGATCTCTTGGTTCGTGAGTTCGAGTCCCTCATTGGGCTCTGTGCTGACAGTGAGGAGCCTGCTTGGAATTCTCTCTCCTTCTCTCTTTGCCCCTCCCCCTACCCTTTCACTCTCTCTCAAAATAATAAACAAACTTTAAAAAAAGAAAGAAAATAAGGGCGCCTGGGGGGCTCACTCGGTTAAGCCTCCGACCTCGGCTCATGTCATGCTCTCACGTTTGTGGGTTCGAGCCCCGCGTCGGGCTCTGTGCTGACAGCTCAGAGCCTGGAACCTGCTTCAGATTCTGTGACTCCCTCTCTCTCTGCCCCTCCCCTCTCACGCTCTGTCTCTCTCTGTCTCAAAAATAAATTAAAAA